GACCTCAGTTTCTCAATGACTTCAAACCTTTTCTTCCATTTTTAAGGATTCGACGACACCGAGGGTATGATTGGAAATGCTTTTGTCTAAAAGAACTGCATGGAAGCATTAATGCTTAACGTGTTTGAGCCCAATGAAATATGGACAATATGACTTATCTACCCTTGGGGAAATATTTTAATAATTTATTATTGGATGCAATTTTGATAGAAAAATGAAATGAAGGAGGAGTAAGTAAAGTTATTAGCCACCTGTAAATTTCACCACGCCAGACAATGAGCTATCTCGTATCTTGAGCTAACGTTCACACCATTTGCTTGATGTGTGTCAGTGTGCAACTTGATTCGGTTTCACATAGATCTCGACATAATTATAATTGTAATGGTAATAGTAAAAATAAAAAAAAACAAGGGGTGTGCGATAGACTTACCTCCACGTGGTGCACCCCGGACAACGTATACTCATACGGCAAAAGGTCTATTAATCGGCAGTTGACTTCTCACTTCAACCTACCAGATCACCCCACTGCATGTCATATTCGACTACTTTCACGATACTCACCTCACCTTTTTCCTACCTTTGTGTCTGTCTCTTTTACATCTTTGAATCACTCTTCTATCCCCCCCTCCCCACCATCTCGACTTTTTTCTCTTTGTTGTTCCTTCCCCTCTGTGGAGCCTGAAGCCAACTAAAGGGCTAATGATAACTATCATAATGCCTGCCATTTGATATAAATAAATCTTTATGTCCGATTTCGTCAAACTTCTTTCTTTTTTCCATCTCTTCGAGGTGTCCTATTGAGATTCTCTTTGGCTTTTCTTCACATCTTCAAGGATAGAACTTCAATATGGGTGGGAATATTATTTCAAGCTCGGTTCTTCGTTATTCCAAATAATTTCTTCAGTGCACTCTCACTTTGTGTTGGCACTTTTTACCAGTATTCCTAGTGGCTTTTGGTCATAGCTGCCATTTTGGGGTGCTGACTTCTTTTTCCTCTCTCCACTCCCCATCCCTCTCCCCCCCCCCCCCCCCCCCCCCCCCCCCCCGCTTTGATTGACATGACATAGTCTAACGAGATCATTTTATATTATCTTACAGCACACCTAGCAATTTATGCATACAATTGTAGTTCACTGCTTTTTTCGTGCGCATTTGAAGCTTGCCGTTCAAGTAGAGCCTCAAACTCTGCTTCTTTTCTCCCTGGCTCTCTAATTGATAATTAAAAATAAGAGCACCAAACGCATAATTTTCGTGCAGTTTCTTTTAATTTCCTGTCCTTTCATTACAAAATACGAGTTACTGGAGTAACAACTTCTAGTACAGTAATATGTAGTGATGTATTAGTTAAATAAATACAAAACTAGTACCTCAGGAAATGTGCATTGTGCTTTCTTCCACATTTTGCCAACTTTTAGCTCCTTTTAGAGCCTTTGAACTTGCTGTGCTTAAACAAGCAATTCGGCATCCAAGACGTGGACGTTTGGGGTGTGCGATTGGCGTTTAAAGAACTTTTCATAAGGACTTCTTTCAACCCAGGAATTTCATTTCTTTGTCTTGAGGTAATTTTGGAAGGCATCACGCCATTTGACTTGGGTAATTTTGATGCGAATGCAAATGGTTCAAGTGAATAGTGGTTACAAATAAATGATTCAAAGCATAATTGGAGTCTGGATTAAAATTTAAAATTGAAATGTTGTTGGTAAAGTGAACCTTTTTCATCTTTTGAAAGTGATACACTTTGTGAATGAAAGTCAAGTTATGAAGGACTGATTGACTGGCTTAATTCCATAACCGCCCTCAACTCAAACGACATTGTTTTAATGGCTTCTTTGATGGTCCTCTTGTGAATGAAAGACGCGAAATAAAGTGCGCCGCCATAAACGCAGACCCAAGCGAAATTACCTCAATATAAACAATCATTTGGGGATTTTATCCTCTAAGTGTCAATTACAAGCCACAGCAACAAAGCTAAACGTGGCGTCAAAGGAACAGCCAATCACATGGGCGCCAACGGGCGAAAAGGGAGAGAATGTGCGCGCTTTATTGACGTTGACAAATGTGTCTACTCACTCTCCTAGTACCATCATTGTACCACTGGCCCTTGCAATGGATCAACAGATCGACAATATACTCATACATGCATTGGTTCATGTTTTTCCAAATCAACCCACAAAAGAATTGCATTTAATTTTACTAAAAAATTACATTAAAGAAAGTTATTTCTTGGACTGTTTTATATTACATGCATCATAAGATTTGGCCAATTTTTCATCAAATATTCAAAATAGGCCTCATCGAGGAACTGGATTCTATGAGGTATGGGTAAATTTCTGCATTTTGTCCAGGCAAGCACCTCAAAAATAAATAGACGAGTCACTGTGTTGCAGAAGTGAAATCCCTTCCAAGTTTTGGCCACTTCTCCACAACTTTGAACTCGTCGAATAGGGAGATATTTTGGGTAATCTTTCTATGGAATTGAAGTAGACCAAGTAATAAAATTGAGTAAAGAGCAACGTACTGAGACACATATATCGACTATCGTCGGTTTCATCGTCTTTAAAGTGAAGGAGAATCCATTCTTATAAAATTTTGCTGATTTGAATATTTCAGTGGGGCAATTGCGTATGAATCGAGCGATTTCGAAGATTTCCAGCGAAAGCGACTTATTGCAAGACATCGCAGACTAAAAATCATGTGACCAGAGTGTTTAAATTGTGATTGAAACTCACGATTTGTGATGAGGGTAGCAAGTTGTGTTTAACAAATAACAATTGGAAAAGGTGACGTACCGATGGAATTATTAACGCAAGCAAATTGAAATCACCATTTTTTGCAAATTATCAAGAATAACGGAAAACGTTC